CCAACCCAAACTTCTCCTGACACTAATCACATTAAAATGATAATGAAAAAATTACCTACCAAATCCATCACCACCAACCCGGAAATGTTAAGACGCAACGTGCTAGGATGAACAGGTGGTTTATTATGCGTCAGGCAGCAGGATGAGGACTATAAAAGAGGCCTCAGCTCAGTTTGCCCTTAGCTCCCGTCTCCTCTGGACTTCTGAAGAGGAAAGGCAGCTCCCACAAGATGCAGATTCTCCTGCTTGCTCTTACAATCGGGCTCGCGTACGCCCATCAGACCTTGGACCCTTCGGAGGTAGTGTGTGTGTGTGTGTGTGTGTGTGTGTGCGTGTGTGCACGTGCACATTCCTATATCTGTGTTTCTCTCCATACTTCCAATAGTCAATCCACAGTGCGTAGATTTTTTGTCCCATGTATGTTCATAACAATTCAGTTTTCCAAATCTGTACATTTTCTTGCTGTCAGAATACTCTATCCACAGACGAAAGTGTTAAGTGTCCATGGGTTTTGAATGCACAGCTTTGATATTTCAGAAACTCCCAGTGCTTTGTGCGCTGTGTGAATCTGAATCCTGACTGTAGGATCTTCCTTGAGTTTTCTCTCAGGGATCACAGGCATACATTTATCCAATAGGGTGAGATTGAATCTTTCTTTCTCTGTTGAGTTGATGTCTAGATGTTAAGGAGACAAGAGTCAAGCGATCCACCAACCTGTCCAGTGGGATATTTCCTTTACAGATCAATGGTCAATGGCATACCATCTCCATAGCTGCTGACAATGTGGAGAAGATCGGAGAGGGTGGACCCCTGAGAGGCTATTTCCACAATCTACATTGTTATGATGGGTGCAAAAACATCGGCCTCACATTTTATGTCAAGTAAGTAAAGTATACCCCATCTAAAAGAGTAACCCATGCAATTACTACCATGGGGACTGGCGTCTAATATGAATATGACCAGTTATAGAGTCAAATTGAGCTGTAGTTTTGAGATATCAATTTGGTACTCTGTCTTCCATACATTATATATATTAACCTAACAATAGATATAGATATAGATCAGAATAGTGTTAGAAACACATAGATGTAGGATGCTGACCATGGATGCATGCATGGATGGGTTTATGGGTGGATAGAGAGGTGTATGGGTGTATGGGTGGATGGATGGATGGATGGATGGATGGATGGATGAATAGATGGGTGGATGGGTGCGTGGGTGACTGGATGGGTGGATGGATGGATGGGTGGATTCATGAATGGATGGAAGGGTGGATGGATGGATGGATGGATGGATGAGTGGATGGATGAATGGTTGGTTGGATGCATGAATGGGTGGATGAGTGGACAAATGGATGGATGGATGGATGGATGGATGGATGGATGGATGGATGGAATATATATGTCTATATGTTTCTATCACCATTATGACCTATATCTAGAAGAGTCTTCTCATTGATTATTGTCAACTGAATTAGCAACAGTTGAAGAGTGTCTTAGAGTATAAGGACTTCAACCCCAATACCTCCAGCAGCGTGTATTGAAAAGGTAGAACAAGGGGCTGGGGATCTAGCTCAGCTGCATAAGCACCTGCCTTGCAAGCAGGCGGTCGTGAGTTCAATCCCCGGTACTGATAAAAATGAAAAAGACCAGAAAAACAGAAAAGGTAGAAAAGTATTTTTGAGGACAACGACATAAGTTTATGTCAAACACAGACACAGTCCTCCTTGTGATGAGAAGGTATGTATACACCCTGCCAGTGCCTGCAAGATGCGAGGGGGGCAGACCTGTGGCTGAGCCAGCTGGGGGTGTCAGCTCAGGCAATGTGAGGTGCACAGGTCAGTGCTGCGGATGGGAAACCTACATAGCCAAGGAAGGCTGATTAGACACCAAGGCTCACCCAGCCTAACAGCCCGTCCTCACCATGGTTGACCAAAGCTGTGGTCACCTCATGAAGATCAATATAAGGGGGACATCGCAGGAGCGGAACACTGATGTACCCTTTTATTCCCAGCACCTGGAATGACTGATAAGCCCTCATGATTCCTGGGGAGGGCGGTGGGCTGGATGAGGGTGAAGACACAAGGCGGCCATCCCCATCTCTTTCAGGTTGGATGGCAACTGCCAAAGGTTTGATGTGCTTGGTGCAAAGCAGGAAGACTCAGATGTTTACGTCGCTCAGTGTGAGTACCTGACGTTGTATGGAAGCTGTAAAGCCATGGCTGTGGTTCAATCCGGCAAATCTGAATTTGAGACCCTAAAACAATGTCTCTGACTAATTCTCGAAGCAGCCTAAGCAAAGCAAATGAAACCTTATTTTATTTATTTTGATTTTTGAAGACAGGGTCTCACATGCAGTTGGCCTTGGGTTCGTTTTGTAGCCCAGGCTGGTCTCGAACTTGCAGTCAGCCTCCAGGGTGCTAGGATTACAGGTGTGCACCACCACGCCCAGCCTCAGCTATGGAAACATTTGAGAAACCAGGATCAGCCCACGTCGCCTAAACGCTTGCAAGGAATATGCGGATAAATAGAAAGTGAAGGGCGGCCCCAGAAACCTGTGAGATGTGATGGGCAAACGCCGGGCATTCCATTTTTAAAAATTCTTTACCTAAACAGATACTTTGCAAAGAACACTCCTCAAAATACTGCCTTCCCTTCGAGCATGTATTCTGTCTTCCTGGTCAGCTGTCCACATATTTTTGACAAAAAAGGAATAGCCCAGAAGTGCTTTAGGAAGTGCTGGGAATGGTGGTCTGAGGGTTTTCAAAGAAAAGGAAAGCCTTTAGAGGGGGATTCATACCACGAGTCTTTAATTCCAATAATTTCTTGTCTTTTTTACATCAACAATTCCTAAAAAAAACCCTTGAACCTTCTGTAGAATGTTGCACTTTATATGCATTTTTTTGGGGAAGGGGGTGTAATTGAAATGAATTTAAGTGATGAAACTTCTTTCAAAAAATTTCCCAACTCTTAGAAGCTATGTCCACACTTTCCTTTTACTGAATAAACTTATTAATGTGTTAAAAAATTGCTTGTAGAGAAGCCAGGTTTGAGGTGCAGCATGATTCCATTCAACCCCAGGGTTTAAGAGTTAAAAATAACACTGACAATATCCAAACTCAGCTGCAAATTGTTTGAACTTCAGTTAACCCAGCCAGAGCTATAATGTCAACTTCTATGTCTTTCATTTACAGTAATTTCCTAAAACTAGTCCTGATGAATTAAATAGGCAAACTAAATTATTTTGATGTACACAAAGAAAGATACACCTAAGCTTGCGGACTGAAAATCTGAATCTATGTAAATATGATGATGCAACGGCAGAAAGCTTTTAAAGTGCATCTCCCTAATATATATGTCCAGCATTTTTCAATAATATAATCTTTATTATTTCTATTGTAACAGAAAGGGGTCCTGTTGAGTACATGCTAACAAGAAATAGGAATTCATGCTATATGGTTACACACAAGTCATGTCAAATCAAATGGAAAAATTTAAATATATTGAGTTGCGATTTTTTTTTTTTTTTTTGTATTGCAGACTCGGGCACAAACCATTTTGAAGTGATTGGTAAGAAGGAGGATGCCATAGCATTCTATAACCACAATACAGATGAGACGGGGAAGGAAACAAAAATGATCGTAGTTGTTGGTAAGCATTGGAGCATTTTCTCTGTAGTGCAGAAGACACACATAGGAATTTCACGTTTGTTCTTAATGGCAGCCAGAGCTGGGTGGATGCATTTTTCAAGCTACGTACCCTACATAAACACGTGTTTATAAACAAGGTTGCAATTTTCACCTTGATGCTGTCCAGGATAGTGAGAAGTTGTCTATGAAACTAAAGTTATGCCTGGTGTCCGGGGCCCCAACAAAATGCTTTGCTAAAAATGGTAAGGAGATTGTAAGAGGCAATCTCCTAAGGAAATTCCAAACGTGATTGACCTTCATCACCTAATGAAGCCAACTTTCATAAAGGGATACAGCACATTATTTTCCCATCGTTGTGATTGTTAATTTCTAGTTTAGGACCTTTCCCCAGGCACAAAACTTGTATCTGCTGCTTTGCAAAAAAACAAACAAAACAACAACACAAACTCGAACAAAACTAAAGCAAGAGCTGAGATCTGGGTCCTGGAACACGATGTCCATCGTGTCAACATTTCTGACTATTGAGTCCTTTCTATGGACAGCAGTAGAAATACTCGATGAATAATGATGTTAGATCTATGTGTATTTCACCTCGATTGGGTATGACTTGGTGTAAGAAAGATGTAGATGTAGATATGCATCTCCTCTTCACGTGATTCAGGCTTTAGTCCACTAGGGCTGCATCCAGAGTCTGAAAGAAGAAAGTGATGATCTTCAGTGAGCAGAGGTCTAGCTCCCTTAGACGCACACATCCCGCTGCCCTGGGGGGATGATGGGGAGATGCTGAGGATCACAGCATGGCTGAATATTGGCGCCCTCCATAACCTAGGAACTGGAAGGTGACGGGATGATGTTCACTGGGCTGTGGTACGCAGTGCCATTTAGGATGCCCTGCAGGAAGGAGCCAGGGCGCAGATGGTGGGATTCTCCAGCGACACCAGCACAGTGCGGCCTGGGGAGATGCTCAGGAAATCAGGCAGCTTCTTAAGCATTACGATCTGCTTCATCTTCCATGCAATACAGCAAGAAGAGACAGCCTCACAGAGGAGGAACAGCAGAAGCTGCAGGAGGTGGCTGGGGAAAAGGGCATTCCAAAGGATAACATCCGCTACTTCAGAGAAAGAGGTAGGGTCACCAGCCGGGGTGAGACGGTATCAAGCATCGTTGGGAAACCCACTGTCATTGGTACGATGCTTAGTCTCGAATCAGTGCTGCGAGAATCAACAACTATTCTAATTAAACTGCTATTGCAGGCGCTTAGAACTACTGACTAACTCCCGTCCCCTGTCTGTGTCCCTTCCCTTCCCTCTTGTCTTTTGCAGATACTTGTGCACAGTAAAGATGTTGCTTG